TAGCACCTCAGCTGTTGTACTGCGCTGTTAGGGCCCTTCAACAAAATGCCATACCTTGTGCTTCTCTGCGTAGAGTCAGTCAGCTGCCCTTGCTAGACTGATGCAAGGGGGTGTTCCACTGCTGGAATGATGTCAGTCTTCAGAAACAGAAGACTGCTTTATGAAGCAGAAAAATTTAGTGTTCCTTAAACTCAAATCAACTTGAAATTTTGGATGGGTATTCAAAATATGTCTATCATTTCTTTCTTTTCTGTAGCACTTGATGACATAATCCCATACTCTTGCTTGCATAACAAGGCAATTGTGAATACGTTAAGAAGCATAAGGTTCAGGAAAGCTTTTAGATCTAAGTAAAAATGTATATTTTCACAATTTGAACAGTACTTCTTAAGTGTTTCTTTCTGGTAATAATGAGTTTTGGGTTGGCCTTTTGTTATTCTTTTTAAACCCAGACCTACCAGAAAGCTAAGAAGCAGAATTTTTTCTCACAGCCAAAGGAAGAAATTTAGTGCCACATAAACTTGGTTGCTAAAAAAAAAAAAAAGGAAAATATTGTGTCATTTGAAAAGATATGTTAGTGTACAAAATAACTTAATGTAAAACATCGTGTAAAAAAAGAATTATAGGTCATAGTGATGAATTTACATGTTCTGAAAAAAAAGAAAATCTGCAAAATTTTATACTAAAGATAGCATTAGTATTTATTATTTGGTCTTCGTGACCTTAGAGCCAAAAGCTACATGTTTAAAGTCCCAAGCATCACCATAATTGAGACTTCTTCAAGCAGAAGTTCTGAAGCCGGAATACTTGGATGATCAGTGTGCCTATTTGCTATCAGTTGCCAGACCATCATTTTCTTCCTAGTGGTGTACAAAGATGGGGCAACTGAAAAACATAGAGGAAATTTAAAAAAAATAACACTGGATAAAGCAGTTTGGAAATGAGGATCCAAGACAAGGCTCTAACTAAAAATGCCAGAAAAAGAAGTTTTGTAAGTAACAAATTGTTACAAATGTGGTTTCACCATTCCTATCCTGGTTAACTTGCCATCTGAATATAGATCTGTTGTGCAGCACTGGATCTCAGACCAGGTGATACTTGTTATTCCACAGCAAACAGCCTCTTGTGACCAAGATACTAAGCTTTGTCCACATGTTGCTTTGTCCGTTGCTGAAGTCTTTGTGAAGAAAAAACAGCCACAAGGGTAGCAAAAGTTGTAGACCTTTGTGCTTCAGAGAACAGCATGTAAATGCTCTCTTATGCCTTTTGCTTGCTCCTTCATTTACTCTGTGGTTCTGATTTGAACGACTGAATGTCTGTGACTGAAGGATGTCCTGTGGGCATACTGCAGATCCTCCCTCTCCACGTACTGCTGGGAATCCAATGGATTTCCCTCTTCCTCATGGGAGCAGGTAGCAGAAAGCTCTCCCAGGGATGCTGGTGCTGCATGAGTGCCTTCATGTCTAATGTCATTGCATTGGTTAATTTTCCAGGTGTTTTTACAGTGCTGCTGTTCATACTGTAACCCATGTGTATTCATCCACTTTCCCAACAGTTTTAGCCTCAGATGGACTGTGGATCCCTCCTGCTTCTATTGAATTCTGCTACTAGTGTAAGATGTTTGCACCTTATGTTTTGGATACTGCTGTGACTCACCACACAAGTCTAGCAAAACTATTTTCTTAGAAGAATGTTATTCTTTAGTGGGGAACTCATTCTTCGTGTAACTCATGTCAGCGTGTCCCTATATGTAGGTTTGTCCCATTAAAAATTTTTTTCTTCAGCTACTCATTAACTCTATAAGATGTCAGAGGGATTTTTCCCATTCTTTTTCCACTTTATTTGAAGATGAAGTGGAGAGCAGAAATGAAAGCACTTAGTTACAGACTTCTGTGCCAAATGTATTTGTCCAGCATGTTAGCGCAATAGTGAGAGGGGAGGACTGGGCATCTATCAGAGATAAAGATTACCCTTTTAAGATTCAGTGCTGCTTCCTTCCTTTCTTCTGGGAAATCATGTTGATTCTTCCTGAAAGCAGTTGAGGAAGGAATGTATCCTTCTGTGAAATCACATATGCTAAGGAAACAGATGGACTTGTGATACTTATAGAGTGGCTTGCCAGGGCAAATGAGAGAGTACTTTAAGAACTTGACAAAGAACATTTCTCTTAAAGTTACTTAGAAGTTATTTCTTAAATTCTCCTTAGCAACTGGTTTCTGGACATATTGGGCCAAAGTTTTATTTTCTACTTTCTTTGAAAGCTCCACTCATGCCTTCATTATTGGAATTAATTGTGTGATCTAAAAATGGGAGAAGGTACAGGTCTGAATGCAGCAACACAGAATACTACTCTGGAGTTCTGAAGAAACTCTGCTGAATACTGGGCTGTGGGTGTTTGCTGAGGGCAGTGCTACGTGTGTTCAGTTCTGCACAACGTTACAGGAGAAGATGCTTACAAAGAGCACGCTCCTTTCCTTCACACTGTCACTGTGACAGAGGCTAGCTGGTTCATAATTGTAACAGCTACACAGCAGTCTCCTTGAGAAACTATTTCCTGTTTATTTTCCTCCCTTCCACAAAGCATGTACCAAACCACACTTCTAAATATAGTGATTATTTTATTTTTTTTTTTAGGGAAGCATTTCCAGCTCCTTGCCTGAAATAAGTTAAAGTGTATACGCATGTGTGCAGAAATGCAGTGTGACTGTGGTTCTACATTTCTGTGTCCTTCATTTACCCATAACAGATTAGGACGACACGGAAGCCTTTAAGTTTCAAGGATGTTCTGACTTTATAAGTTGCCCAAACCAAACCAAGCCAAGTCAAGCCAGTGCAGGAACAGAAGGCTCTTAAAGTAGAAGCAGGGATAAAACTGCAGTCTTATACTGCAATGCCGTCATGATGGGATGGGGGGAACAGGAGTTGGGGAGAAGACGGTGGATTTCAGGGACTGCTGATCTCATTATTCAACCAAGCAATGTTGCAGGAGCAAGGAGATGAACAGGTGTGTGCAGAATTTGTGTTACACTAAGGTAAATTCTCTACTAATAGCAAAGTTTGAAATGGTGTTCTAAGTGCACAGTCAGTGATAATTGAACAATGAAAAACCTGCAGCTACAGTTCATTGATAGTGGAACAACGTAGGCACTCACTGTTGTAGAGCCCTCTAGTTTACAGACAATCCTACTCTTCCTTTGCCTGTGTCTCAGATCCTACCTCTGATGCTATTTTTTTCCCTAAAGTAGGAATGGAAATGTATTTTGAATGTTGAATGAGTCGCTTTCAGTGTTTTATTGTGCCAAGTTTACAAAGTGCCTGGTGCTGCCTGCCTTACAACCCTGATGCTTTTCTGTAGAGAGGATGCTGCTGCCCAGCTGCCAACATCCTCTCAGCGGCTCTGCAGGACAAAGGGGCTGTGCTTCACCTCACAGACCTGCATGGTCACTGCACGTGCAGTGCAGACATGTAGGATTACTGCTGCCTCAAGAAGCATTAGCACCTAATGAATCTTCAGATAAGGAAAATAAATTAGTCAAATCTGAGGATGAAAATGTATGTTTTGAAAAGGAGGACTGCTTCCAAGCAAGTTTTTGTCATATCCTATGTGTGCTGGGTTATAGTTAAGTTCCACATTTGGTATTTGTTGCTTTGAAGGAATAATCCTGGGCTGTTTTTGTTTGTTTATTATTTTTAAAATAACATTTAACAGGAAATTAAATGGCAGACAGAGTTTTCTGTGAACATTTATCTGTGTCATCTGTAACAAATTTGAGGGAAAAGCAACTACGAGTTTGGACTATAAGTGCTGTATCTGTTATGTTGTCTTTGCAGCAATAGTAAATGACAGTATTCCGTTCTGTAATCAGTCTGTAATCAGCTAGAAATGAAAACTAATTAAAACTGGAAAGGAAAAAAAAAATCCAACAATTTCACTTATTTTGTAACTAAATGATCTAGTTAGCCCAGAGTAATGTGGAGATACAAGACTATCCAGATGGCTTTTACATGAGGTTGTGTTACGAATGACAACAAATTACTCAAGCAATCTAGGGGGAGTTTCAGAAAATTCTGACAACTTTATGTACATCAATAGATGTTCCAGAGGAAATGCTATACAGGTCTGGAGACATCGTGAGAGGGGAGCTGTAAGGACAAGCTGCACAGCCTTAGTGGCACTTACATGCTTCTGCCTTTCAACCCTGAGGTCAAATCTGGGACTTCTCTCACTTATACACCTTTTGGCAAAACTCTTATGAAATAGCAGGCTTTTGGATCTTAACATGCAGCTGTCCCTACTCTGTAAAGAAGAGTTGTCCTCTGTTCAGAGCAAATCACATTTTCACATCTGAATTCTGACAGAAAGTCAGGAAAGTGACAAAGTGACTGGCCATCTGATACTCTTTTATACAGTTTATGTGGAGAAATATGAAGGATTTTATAGAACAGAGTAGTCAGCTGCTGGATCAAATTGCCTTTAATTCACGTCAAGTCAAATCAGATCCTGCAGTGGATGCCAACCCCCATTTCCAAATACGGTCTGAATGCTACAAGATCCCATCCTAGAATCAAATTCCACAGATCTGGTTGAGTCCTAAAACGATTTGCCTTTTGTGTCCATATGTCAGCAGAAATAATTGGGTAAACATTATATTTCCCTGTTTCCTGTTGGCTGCAAGTGCAATGACAAGAGTTGGAATCCTGTTCCTTGCATTAAGTTAAAAGGCTTCCTGCCTGACTACTTTGTTATGTGTGGGATGCAGCACCTTTTACATGGTCTGGATAGGAAGTTAGCAAGGTACTAAAGCTGTCAAAAGTGACAAAACACAGCATGCTAATTGCCAATTATCTTCACCTTGAAACTGACAGAGAGGAGCAGAAACATGGTGGCATATAAAGCTGTGTAAATTGGCACAAATGCAGAAGTGATAATTGGGAAGAGGTGTGTGCAAATCTTTAAACAAACGTCCTTTGCATTTTAATTCTCCCTTCTTGTTTTACAGAAGGAGATGACAACCAGGTTGTGTCACTGAAGAGCCACTCACGGAAGAGAACATGTCCAGTTTCATCCTTGCTGCAGAGTTCCAGAACATGGCAGCCTTTGCAGAATGCATCTGCTTTCAATCCAAGAAAGCAGAAAAGATGGGAACTGCAGTTACTTTCACAAAAGTTTTCCACTGCTGTCAGTGTTCCTAACCCAGAGTATGCTGCTAGGAACCTCATCCGGCCGACGTGAGGGAAAGAAGAATCGACTTCATATTAATCCTAGCTTCTTCATTAAGGCTAAGAACCTCTTGAGGCGCACGTAATGACTGACCATGTTCCTGCTGCTAAAGCCCACTGAAATTCAGGTCCCTGGGCTGACCTCCGGATCCACTGTATTCAAATGAAACTATTACTAGCTGCAATGTTGTTTTCTTTTTATTTTGCTCCTCAGTTTATGCTTTGTTTCCTAAATGAAGTGGAATATCAAGTCAGTCTGGAGTTACAGAGAACTTACCTGAACATCTCCCATCCATCACCAGACCACTCAAGGCTTGGCTGCTGTTCCCAAATGCCAGAGAGCCTTGTGTTTCCACAAACACAGCCCTGTCCTTTTGCTGACCGTAGAATTGCAGAATTGTTTGTGTTGAGAGGGACATTGAGAGTTCATGTAGTCCTACTCTCCTGCAATCAAAAGGAACATCTGCAAGGACATCAGGTTACTTCGAGCCTGGTCTAGCCCTGACCTTGCTGACCTCATCAACAGCTTGTTTGCATTGCAATTCCTAATGGAGTGATGGAGGGTCAGCCTCTGATCTCAGCTACAGGAGCTCCAGACACAGCCCTGCAATGTTGATGTCTGTCTTCAAATTCTTACTGTGACTGACAGCAAATCTGCTCAGTGTTTCTGCATTACATAAGAAAGCACCTATATTGTCAGCATTTCCTGAAATACCCTACAAAGTGCACCAGTGCATGATGTAACTTGATGTCCTATGATCCCCTTAGAGGAAGGACAGCTTTCATTCTCCCAAATGTTTAATCTTTTCAGGGGAAAAGAAATGTAATTTCGGTAACTGGGAGGAAGATGAGTAAAGATGAATAGTATAACTGTCAGGCCAGGAGGGACTGAGCAAAGGACTCTTTTGCATCTGAATTGTGCTAGCAGTGTGGCCTTATTTCTGCACTGGAGAATATTTCTCCCCAGTTCTTAGTCCAACTTAACACATTGGTAAACAGCCTGGAGGGATGTAAACACCGTAGATCCAGTCTTCTGTGTCAAATATACCCTGATGAAAGGCTTTCTTAAAAAAAAAAAAAAAAAAAAAATTAAATTAAAAAAAAAAAAAGAAGCAAAAAGCAATACTTAGCAGATCGCAGGAGAGGTTTAGCTGAATAAATGGGGATTGAATGGAACACACCTACGTATTCTGTGCCTTCTGATGAATTTTGCACATTTTTGCTATTGTGATAGATTACTCTTTCCTTTTTAAGTGCTGAACCCTATTGCTGCCTTCCCTACAAGCGAGTTAGGTGTGTTTACTTCTTCTGAGACATTATCAGAATGAAATCTCATGGAGTATCCAGTGATTGGAACATTAGAAAATAGAGGTGTAGCAGTGATTAAGAATAACCACAATCCCTTTGTAGTTCATGTTGTCGTGTATTCTGCCTTTCTCGCTTGCTTGCTTGCTTAAAATAGAGCTTATAAATCTTGGTGATCCTGTTCTTGCTGGGAGAAATGGCTTTTGTCTGTGAACATTCAGCATAGCTAGGTGGAGACTTCTCTGCATCTTTAGAATGACACAAGGAGCGCTGTCCTTTGCTTTCAGGGAAGTAGGCTGAAGTGTCCTTCCTCTTCCAGTATTATTTTCAGTTAGGTTTATTCTTTGTGGGTTGCACGACATAACACCTCTGGGGTGCTGGCACTCGGGCATGGTATAACTGTCTAGTGGTATTCATTGCCAAAGCTATTGCTGGGCTTTGCTGCTTCATTTTGGATGTAATGATAAATGTTGTGTCCTTGGAAGAAGGCTACACGGATATGCGTGGAATTGCAGCCTTGATTACATCTGAAGAGGTTTCTTACACCTTCTCCAAAGCCTGTCAGGTCATTGTCCTGTTGGAGCTGGAGCTGTAGTTGATACAGTGTACTTGAACTTCACTGTTGCCAGTTCCCATCTTCTCTTCCTATGGCTGGGCAGTACTGCAGTGCTGTGTATTAAAGATTAACATAACGGTCAAAGTGCCATTGCAGAAATTGAGAAACAGTATTTTTGCATAAAATCTGTCCTTCAGTTTGTTCTGGTCCTTACCATAAGCTGTCTTGAGTCTAATTACTGTAGCGATGTCTGGAAATGCAGAAGAATTTGCTCCCATTTACTTTGAATTACTTTTGAATAACCTTATAAACGCGTTAATCTCAGCATGTTTGCAAAAGTTCTTTGTTGGAGTGTGTTTATTTTTCTAAAACCATCTTTCAGTTTCCTTGGCTCTTGTGTTTCCTTTTCTAGCATTAGGAGGCTAAGGAGGGAATATTCACTGTGGAATCCTAGAGGATCTGTGTTTGCCAGGGCCAAAATCCTGACGAGTCTAATTGGAAAGGGATTTCAACCCAGGAGTTGAACCACCACACGATGCACTTGGTTTGGTGGTTTGCTCTGATGGGAAGAAGGTGGAGTTTTGCCCCAGCTTGTGTTTTCTCTGTGAGCACTGAGCTCTTTCTGTCGGTCCCACCGGTGTTGTGACAGGCACAGGCCCAAGTTCTGTGCGTAGGTAGTAGGGCAGAGGCCTTTTGGCAGCCTCTTCACTTTTTATCTGTGCCACGCTAAGGGTGGTGTGATGCCTGGGCATCGCAAATCTGTTGAGCTGTATTTGCTGTGGAAAACATCCAAAGCCAAATTGAAACTTGCTAGATGATGAAATACACTTTCTCCAGATGGCAGGGTTGGGTCCTTGGCCAAATGTTTCCCAACAAGTACTACTTTCACTGCAGAGGTATCCTGCCCTGGCCTTGCCATCCTGTGCCATGGGCCACTTCTCCATTTCCCGCGCTTGGTACTTGATATCTTGTTATGAATAATGTCTGGAACGTGGCATTGCTACATGAATATGTCAAGTTACTCTTCCTCTGGAGGAGAGAGGGGCAGCAGCCTGTTGGATCCAGATCTGAGGCATTCCAGCTTTATCAGCAATCTGCTTGGGGCCACATCCAGATGACTCTTGTTCTGGGTGTTGATCACAGGTCCTGATTTATGTGATTCCTCAGGATATGTCAAGAGAAATCTATTTTAAATGTGATGGTATGCAAAAGCGTGCATTCCACCTACTGAGAAAATCTTTCTACTTGACCTTACCATTTATGTGTCTTCCTAATCATTCTCCAGCGTGTGTCCTATTAGCATTTCATGTGGTTCTGGAACTGTGTTTTGTTTTGCTTTATTTCTTGCCTTTCAATAAGATCTTTTTTTCTTTTTTTCATACCTAGAAAAAATCCTGTGAGTCTGGCAACTATCTTAAGAGGTGTTCTTAGTACTGAGCTTCAAGGCACTCTAAGTGGGATCACTTCAGTTGATAGAGGCCACAGCCACCTTTATTTCAGGACTCCTGTGATACCAAAATTGCCTTCAGTGATTAAAGACTGATTAATAGCTTTCATTGATTCGTCTCTGCCATAAGGGATTTTGTGATGAACTTCTGCTTTGTGTGAATGTAGGTTAGTGCTAGACTGTAGCAACAAATCTAATATGAAAAAGATCTTAACTTCCCTTATGTTTAGTGAAGGATGGAGTTCCAGGGACTAGAAAGGGAGGCTTTTCAGCAGCAGTGAAATTGATTATTCCCTTTTGGATATGAGAAAAGGTGAAAACTTGAGTTTTTCCGAGAACTCAAGCTCTAAGCAGCAAAACTCATTGCCATACAATAGTCGTGGTTAATTCTGCTGACCAGTGCATTTGTTAAGAACAGGGCAGGAGGACAGGAGAAAAAAAATGTAACTCAGACCAATTAACATTTAAGGAAGACACGGAGAAACCTAAGGGGTAAACACCATCACAGTAATCATGCACGTTCCCAGGACTGTGTGGAGAGGACACGGAGAGAATGGTGCCCTTGTGAGCAAGTATCCGGACCACGATTAGTGATAGCCTCTCAGGTCTTCATCGTTCTTATTAATCAGGATTCCAGGTTGTTTCCAGCCAAAGGCAGCCGCCTCTCCACCACAGAAATTTAGATCATGGAGTCATAGAATGCCTTGGTTGGAAGGGACCTCAAGGATCATGAATCTCCAACCTCCCTGCCACAAGCAGGGCCACCAACCTCCCCATTTAACAATTGACCAGGCTGTCCAGAGCCCCATCCAATCTGGCCTTGAACAACTTCAGGGATGGGACATCCTCTCTGGGCAGCCTGCGCCAGCACCTCACCACTCTCTCTGTAAAGAACTTCTCCCTGACCCCTTAAGATTAACCTTAGTCTTCCCTCCCTCAGCTTAAAACCATTTCCCCTTGTCCTGCTGTTATCTACCCTTTCAAAGAGTTGATTCCCCTTCTGTTGGTAGGCTCCCTTTAGGTACTGAAAGGCTGCAATGAGGTCACCCCGCAGCCTTCTCTTCTCCAGGCTGAACAAGCCCAGCTCCCTCAGCCTGTCTTTGCTGTGGAAGTGCTCCCAGCCCTGTGATCATCTTCGTGGCCTCCTCTGGACCCTCTCCAACAGCTCTCTGTATTTCTTGTATTGGGGAACCTAGACCTGGACACAGTACTCCAGATGGGGCCTCCCAAGAGCAGAGTAGAGGGGGCAATCACCTCCCTGTCCCTGCTGGCCACCCCTCTTCTGATGGAGCCCAAGATGCCATTTGCTTTCTGAGCTCAAGAGCACACTGCTGGCTCATGTTAAGCTTTTCATCTATCAAGACCCCCAGGTCCTTCTCTGCAGGGCTGCTCTCAAGGACCGCTCCTTCCAGTCTGTATGGATGCCTGGGATTCTTCCAGCCCAAGTGCAAAACTCTGCACTTTGCTGAGTTGAATCTCATTTGATTCACCTGGACCCACCTTTTGAGTCTGGAGATCAAGCTCCAAGGACTAGTTGTTTTCTTTTGAAAATACAGAACAAGGTCTTTAGCCCCTTTAGACTTAGGTTGAACAAGTTATACGTCCTGGAGCCATCCTGCAGGAGACCATGCCTTTCTTTTGCTTTTGTCTTTCCTACGTGTTTTTTTCTTTCCAAGTACCTGCTGGCACTTCAAAGCAGGATGCACTATATATAAAGTAAGAATATACTTGCTATTGTAGAACATGTTTAAATTTTGGGAGGATTTTTGAGGAGGGGGATAACACAAGTGGTCAGTGATCAAACTTCACATATATTGAAAAATTTTGAAGGCATTTTAATAATTTTACTAAGAGTTCTGAGGGCGAAGCAAGCCAAATGAGTTGTAAGAACCTGGTAGTGAAACACATTTAGATCCAAAATGATCAAAACCACTTTTTGATGTATTTTATACTAATGAGAAAAGCAGTGGTTTTCAGGATTTAATCAAGTAAGTTGGAACTCTTAGAAGTAATTGCTTCTTTTCTGTTTTAGTAAGTTTTCCGTCCTGTTGTAAAGATAGATATAATATAGCAAAGAGATACTACAATATTCTTCCAGGAGAAAAAAAACTGAATTGCTTTTTTTGAATTTGTCACATGTGTATGTATGAATGCACACAGGTATGTTTCAGTGGGTGTGCATGTGTGCATTCCCGGTGTGTAGATAAGCACAGATACATGTCCTGAGCTTTCCCATTGAATATGTATTTTTCTTGTGCTATTTTAAGGGGATATTTCTAACAAACAAGTGCTTGATTCCTTTTCCTCCTACATGAATCAGTGTTGTTTGATTCCTTTTTTAATGATGTCAGATGTGTCTTAGACTCTTTTTGTTCTGTTTGTTATTAAATAAGTTGCAGCTGTAAGAGAGACCAACTGGAAGAGAGACCAACACTAACTGTTGTAGTCATTAAAAGAACACCAGATTATTTTTCACATCAGTCCTAAGTAGATGAAGCTGTAAAATCCAAATATCATGAATAAATGAAATGTAATCTTAAGGAATATTGTGAAGTTGTTTGGAGTCTATCTCTTTGGACAGAAAAATGCAGATGGTGTTTGTACTGCAGGATGAAATTTCCTGATAGGCTCATAAAAGTTAGAGACAGCTAAGATCAGTCACAGCTGATGATCCAGCTGGCACTGGGTTGACACCAGGGGAAATGGAGCAGATGTTGGTTGGCCATGCAAGTGGCCCTCCTGGTGCTCTGCTGGCCTGCTGTCCTCGCCCACCATTCCTCAGGCTCAGGTAGCTGCATCGCGCTCTGCCACCGGTTCCTGATGGGATACCTCAGGTCAAGAGAGATGGGTGTCACCAAGCCAGCTGAAGGCAGAATTTCATCTCCTGACAGCAAAGCTAAGGAGCCTTTGTTGAGTTTTGTAGGTCACGGAAAGAAGTGAAGGCCTGAGGGAAAAAGGGAAACTGCTGCATGTGGACTTAGCTGGGAGTCGGGGGACCCATGACACCGCAAGGAGATGGGGAAAGTGGGATGTGAGTCAGCTAGAGAGCTGAAGGGGAGCAAGCAAAGGGAAAGGAGGTTAAGGATAGCTGTGGGATAGGTTGGGACCACATGCTTCTGGACTTTGGGTGTCTCTGATGGAGCTGAAGGTTAGCATGTTGACTGGTGGATGACTGGAAAACAGATGCTAAAAGGAGCTGAGAAGCTCAGCAGAGCTGAAAGAATCCCAGTGGTGGGAATACCAGGATGGTACTCAAGGTAGCGTGCGAATATTGTAACATGGGACAGATCTGCTGCCATGCAGAGTTGCCCATTACATGCTGCATGAAGAGGCATCCTCGTAAGATCAACAGGAAGAGGTGTAGAATCTTGCCAATGGAGAGGAACAACCCAATGCATGCCGGGGGCACCTGGCTGCAAAGGAGCCTGGCAGAAAGTAACCCGGGGTCCTGGTGGTCACCAAGATGACCGTGACCCATCAGCCCTCCCTGGAGGCAGAGACCGAGGCATCAGGGCTGCATTACACAGAATTAGCCCGACTGTTGTCAACAGGTTCAACCTGGAGAGGCTAGTGGAGCATCCTCAGGTATAAATACCAGGTGTGAGGAGTGGAGAACAGAGAGCCAGACCTTTCTCAGTGGCATCTAGAAGAATCAGCAGTTTCTAGCAGAAACACTGGACCCAAAGTGAAGTACAGGAAATTCAAACATAAGGAAAACCTTTGTTAGTGCTGTAGAACACAGGTGCAGGTTTCCCAGAGAGGCTGTAGGGTCTCCATCCCCAAAGATACCAAAAATCCCACTGGGTACAGCCTCAGCAACCTGCTCAGTGGCCCTGCTCTGGGTGTGGGCTGGACTGGTGGCCTCCAGCTGCAGTGGTGTGCTGGTCACAGCATGACACCATCAGAATCTGCTCTGTTGCTGCCATTTTGAGCGTCCAGGCAAGAGAAGACATTCACTGTCAGGGGAAGGAGCTGCTCCTCTGCTGCATGCAGCTCCCTGGCTCATGGAAGCCACTTCCTAGGTCAGCTGAGGAGTGAAGCAGCCAGGGGAAGTGTCACAGCCAGCCTGCACTCCCTGTAGCACTGGGAAACATTGTCAGCTGCATCATTTCCATCACATATGCAATGTGTGGCACTCCCTGCTGCTGCACAGCAGGGGGCAAAGCAGAATTCATCCTCCCTGTTTTTCACATTGCTCTTCATGGTCCTCAGAGCCAGCATAAAGCAGAAGTGATGCAAACTCAGCAGGAGATACTTCAAAAAACAGAGAACTGTGCCTGATTAACAAAGTAGTTCTGACATACAGCAGGTGGACCTCATGAGTCGAGCCCCTGGATTGTGTTTAATATATCACAGCAGTTAGAAGCAATACAAGTAAGTTGGCTGGTAATCCAATTCACACTTGGTGTGCATGTACCATTAGTAGCAAAGTGAAAACCAACGTTACTCACATCCCTAAAAGCCACATACCATGTAATTACTGGCCATTCAGCAATAAATATGACACAAGGAGTGGTGGCAATTAGAAGGAGGAGGTGGCATCTCATTATATGGGGAGTAAACTAAGCCCCTCTCCTGCTACTGTATGGTATCACTATCAGGACTTGGCAAGCAAAGTGTGAACACAGCCACCTCCACTGAAGTTGGTGCATCTCACAGTGTGGTGGCAGCCTCTGGCTCAGTGGTGCTACCATTTAGACAATGCATAGGATTAAGTGTTTTCTACCTTTCCTAATGGAAACAAGAATCAGTTCAACACCCACGTGTAAGATCTACTGAGTTAAGACCCAGAATTAAACCACCTCTTCTCCCATTTGCCATCACACTAAACCCAAAGTGGGCCCCCAGCACAAGAAAGACGCAGAGCTCTTGGAGCGGGTCCAGAGGATCATCTAAGATGATCAGAGGGCTGCAGCACCTCTCCTATGAAGAAAGGTTGAGGGAACTGACGTGCAGAAAATCAAACCCTATAGCCTGTAAGGATATAGAGAAGGTATGTTTTATTGGCAACTGTGCAAAAGCCCTGGTGCAAGGGGGATAATTCCTCCAAGCTTGCACACTGTCTAGAAAAACTGTGCTACAGATATAGGCCAAACTAATACATAATCAATAGTTTCCCAGAATTTGGATACACATTTATTACACCCCAAGGCATGCAAACCCTCCCCTGTTGTGCGTGCGTAGTGGGTCATGGGTTGAAGAATTTGTTATCTTTCTCATGAAGGCTTCTGACCTTCCTCACCATAACTCCTGACAGAGGAGGGGGGAGCATCCCCCAAACTAGTTTTGTCTTACTCTGTGGACATCTGATCACCTCCCTGCCAGATGTCTCAAACCTTATCAGCATGGCCTTCATCCCCCTCACTATCCCAGACTGTGTCTGCTATACCCCTTTCTCTAACAAGCTCTACATTCCTGCTTCTATAAACTATTCCTAACTATCCCCCTCTATCCCCTCCCCTATTCTCAGTTACTGTGAAACCTTCTTTTTGCTTTTTTCTTATGGGGCCCCTTTTCCACCTTTCAGAACTGGGCTTGTTTAGCGTGGAGAAGGGAAGGCTCTGGGGAGAACTCATTGTGGCCATCCAATACTTGAAGGGAGCATATAAACAGGAGAGAGAAAGGTGTGAATCATGATAGGAAATGGGAGAATGGTTTTAAACTGAGACAGGGGAAGTTTAGGTTAGATATAGGAGGAAGTTTTTCACTCAGAGGGTGGTGAGGCACTGGAACAGGTTGCCCAAGGAGGCTGTGGATGCC